CCCTCTACTCCTATCAGCAGTGCTATTTATTCTGTGCCCCTTAGGCTTTTCACACACCTCTCCAGGAATATTCATTATATTGTCTTGAGGTGTGTTTTAGCAATATTTGAGTGAAGGGATTCTTTATACTATTTATGAATGAACAGTGCATTTTATGAATCAAAATCCAAACACCTTAAAAAAGTTATAATGAAAAGATCCTCCATCCATCTAGCTATCTTTCTTCAGAGGCAACCACAATTATAGTTATTTAGTATTCTCTCGGAGAGTGTTTGCATTTATATAAGCACCCCCACACAGGCACATACCTACCACAAACACATACCACAAATGCACATGTACACATGTGCACACACACATGCTCTTGCACACACACTTTACACAAGCACCACCCACCATCACACATGCACACACTTCTACTGCACTATCCTCTACTTGCTTTTGGTATTTGACAGTAAATTTTGAAGATTGTCACCACAAGTGCCTAGAGAGGCTGTATAGTATACAGTAGCTGTAATATGGACTCTGAAGCCAAAGTCTGGTTTCGAACATGTTGTCACTACTAACCAGTTATACAACCTCAGGCAGTTTGTGCAATTCCTCTGAATCCTCACTTTATGATCTGTAAAACAGTTATAATAATATTTAATCTCATGAGGTTGCTATGAAAAATTAAACTATTTAAAGAACTTTTAGAACATTATGTGGCACAGGGAAGAAAAAGAGCATTCTTATTTGTTTATCCACCAAGTAGAATGGTGTACTGAAATTTATTGCTGAACATTCAGATTGCTTCTAGTCTTTTGCACTTCAAACTATGCTGCTGAAAAATCCTGTAAATATATCATTTTGCACATTTTTAAAAATAGTAATTTTATGTAGGTAGACTTTCTGGGTGTAAACATATAAGAACTTTTAATTTTGACAGATATTACTAAATTATTTTGTTGTTGTTGTGGGTGGAGTAACTGGGGATTGAACTCTAGGGCACTCAACCACCGATCCACATCCCCAGCCATATTCTACATTTTATTTAGAGATAGGGTCTCATTGAGTTGCTTAGTGCTTCACTTTTGCTGAGGGTGGCTTTGAACTCGTGATCCTCCTGTCTCAGCTTCCTGAGCCACTAGGATTGCAGGCATGTGCTACTGCACCTGGTGAAACTCTTTTTGAAAGTTCTACCAGGTTGCAGGATCACCAGCATTGACTAAGAATTAAAGTTTGGTAGATTTATTCAGGATTTTCCATTCCTATCCCAGCAGACAATGAATGGATTATGGTGAATAGTAGATACTGAATAAAATGTTACTGGGTGGTGAATGGTTTAGGAAATACAGCTGGGATGTGGTGGTACCAATAGCAGAGATAATATGATACCTGGGAAAAGTTTTTAACAGAGATTGCATCGTGATCTCTGCTTTTGTGATCTTGCATAAGAGCACTTCAAGCAAGATATGAGACTTAGTGAAAGTACAGCAAAGTTTATTAGAAGAGAGAATCTACATCTAAACTCTAAGTTCAGCAGGGGGAGAGAGAGAGAGAGAGAGAGAGAGAGAGAGAGAGAGAGAGAGAGAGAGAGAGAGAGAGAGAGAGAGAAAGAGGAGGGAGATTGTGAGAAGGTGCTGTCCTCATATCACTTATGGGCTCTGGATTCACAAACACATTAGCTTAAGAACCTGAGGCATCCCTGTCATCTTGGCCTGGCTGACAGGTCCTAATTGGAACTGGTTTTACATAGTTTATGGTGATAGGCTCTGGTCTCAATCATCCTGCTTCCCCAAGTCTGGGGCTCTCTGGTCTGGGTTGTTTGTGTAGTGTCTTGTTTAAGACATCTTATCAATCAGGCCCTTCTGAGCAAATGCATCCTTGTCCTCTCCTGAATTTATCTGTCTTCCTTCTATTCAAAAGGAGTAGTTTGTAAGGCTGAGACCATTTAAGGGTCCTAAAGTAGCTGTCCTGTCAGTTACATCACTGAATGCCAATGAGGTAGGGCTGTTGATTAACTCATGTGCTCTGTACCAAGTATTCCTAAAGGGCTGATCCCCTGCTCTTGTCTAATTTCTACCTAATAGTACCAAGAAAAACATTTAAAAATATACTTTAGTATATGTTTTGCTAGTGAAGCCATTAAGAAGAGTCAAGATGCTAACTTTTACTGATCACTTTGGGCTGGTCAATTACAGAAATTTCTCTTAGAACCAGGAAAGGGTGATTAAAAAGCATCTCCTAAGTTCTGTTAATACTGTAATGCAACAGGATGGCAGTTCATTAATAAAAATTTGGCCAGAGATTGTTGATTTACTGGTTTTCCTGTAGAAAAATTCTTTATTATTGTAATATTGTCTTCACATACACGATTCTGATATATGCTAAGGTCAAGAGAAAAAAGGAAAAAGAAATACCGAATGACTGTTAGATGCTGAATTCTCTTTTAAAATTGTCATTGAAATCTCCAGGTTATTCACATTTTACAGAGGAAAGACATCTACAAGAAACTGCTTAACTTGCTTGAAGACAGAGGCAAGAACTGGCCTAAGTGGATTAAGGGTCAAGCACAGTACCTGAACATGTTAATATCCAACAAAATTGAATAAACAAATAGTTGTAATACAAGAGTGACAGATAAAAGCAAAGGCTTCTTTTAGTGCTTATTTGCAGGGTTATGACCTAAGACAAACAGTACACCTCCAGAGTTCGGCTGCTTAAGTTCTATTCACCCAGCTTTTGGCTTGTATGACCTTGGACATTTGAGAAACCAAAGATGGCAGTACTTACTTCATTATGGTGCTGTTGTTAACAAGTTAACACAAATCCAACACTGTAACATGACAAACTGTATACGCTGTGCTTAGTAATAATACATTAATTCTACAGATAAACAGATAACTGAGTCCTTAAATTTATTCGTGGTGACACATGGCAAGTGCTGCCACTGGCGCCAGAAGCCATCCTATCCAACCTAGGCTGTGAACTTTATTACACTACGTTCCCACTTCCGCAAGCAGAGAGCCATCTTCACCAAGCAATTCCTTGCCTAAAATAACCATATTTCGGAGACTAGAGGACGCTCAAGGCTTCAGCATAGAGCCAGCCTTGCGGTCACGTAAGATTACTTGGATGCCTGCCAGCGGGCAGCGCTGATAGCCTCCTCCTCCAGGAGACGAGAGGTTGCAAGGCTGTTCCTCCAGTTTTCAATTTGGTCCGAAGCCTTGAAAGTCAAGGAAAGTCATTGGCAACATGCTTACTCCATTTTGGTTTTCTAAGCGTTTGTTGCCAAAATAAATATGTTTAGCCGAGGGCGGGGAGCAGGGGGAAGCGCCACGACAAGGTGACACATGACAACATTCAGGCATCACCAAACTCGCCATCCGCTGCCTGGCGTACCACAGTAGCGTATTCCCGCGTTTATAAGGAGCACGCCAAGATCACGGCCACGGGGGGTGGTGTACAAGCTCAAACGCTAAGACCTAACGCTCCCTGGCTTCATCCGCTAACAAAGCCTGGTGACTTCTTAGTTGCAACTCACCATCAATTTGTCTTCTCATCTCTTAAAACCGCAAAAGCTAGGAAAATGACATCAATAAGTATCTCAGCACTTTTTAGGAAACGTGGGTGGCTCTGAAAAGAGCCTTTGGGTTTAGTCAACGCGGCCTCAGGACCATTCACTTGGAGCTGGTGTACTTGGTGACCGCCTTGGTGCCCTCGGACACGGCGTGCTTGGCCAGCTCCCCGGGCAGCAGCAGGCGCACGGCCGTCTGGATCTCCCGCGACGTGATGGTCGAGCGCTTGTTGTAGTGCGCCAGGCGGGAGGCTTCGCCGGCGATGCGCTCGAAGATGTCGTTGACGAACGAGTTCATGATGCCCATGGCCTTGGACGAGATGCCCGTGTCGGGGTGCACCTGCTTGAGCACCTTGTACACGTAGACCGAGTAGCTCTCCTTGCGGCTGCGCTTGCGCTTCTTGCCGTCCTTCTTCTGCGCCTTGGTCACCGCCTTCTTGGAGCCCTTCTTCGGGGCAGGAGCGGACTTGGCTGGCTCAGGCATGGCGAGAACGAACTGGCGAAAGTGAGGAGTTCACCGCCGGGGCCTCTTTAAGTATAGAATGTCATGTAAATGAGGAGTAGTAGAGGTCTGTGGTGATTGGTGGTTAACTTGACCTGACGTCAGGTGCCAGTTTTGTCCAATCACAGTCCGCGTCCTGCAAAGCTGCGTCCCATTGGTCAGAATGAAAATGAAGCCCAACCAATCGTACAGCTTCGTTTTCGCGCCCAGAGGAGACTATAAACACTGCGTCCTTCCACTTGCCTTTCAGTTTTAGAGGTTCCTCGTGGTTTTTCTGTGAGTATGTCTGGACGCGGCAAGCAGGGTGGCAAGGCTCGCGCCAAGGCCAAGACGCGCTCCTCCCGCGCGGGCCTGCAGTTCCCGGTAGGGCGAGTCCACCGTCTTCTGCGCAAGGGCAACTATGCCGAGCGGGTCGGGGCCGGCGCGCCCGTCTACCTGGCGGCGGTGCTCGAGTACCTGACTGCCGAGATCCTGGAGCTGGCTGGCAACGCGGCCCGCGACAACAAGAAGACGCGCATCATCCCKCGCCACCTGCAGCTGGCCATCCGCAACGACGAGGAGCTCAACAAGCTGCTGGGCAAAGTCACCATCGCACAGGGCGGTGTCTTGCCCAATATCCAGGCGGTGCTGCTGCCCAAGAAGACCGAGAGCCACCACAAGGCCAAGGGAAAGTGAAGTCCCTATAACCTAATCTTCCTAAAACCAAAGGCTCTTTTCAGAGCCACCTACAATTTTCCGTTGAAGAACTGAACGCTGGGCTTACATCTTTCAGGCTCAAACAGCCTCAAATCGTAGTTTTCTAACTACATCTACACTTTCAAGTGTTTCGTACTCAAGTGTCGTGACTATGCTCGTTTTTTCCACCACTCTTCCACCCCCCCCTTGTTAGTCCTCCCGATAGAGGATCAAGTGAAGGGATTATTTTCAGTGCTGAATGTAATGGTTTTAGGTATATCCTGAGTTTTCGCACATAACAAGTCCTCAGCACGTAGGGTCTTTTACATTCCTGAGCCAAGGGTGCAATTTAATTAATGGTGCTTGAACAGTTTCTGGCTAGGGTGTCTGACTGTCCTTACTGGTTTTTTGTTAAAGCAGTTGTGAATGCCACAAGTTGATGGCCTTTTTCACATGCTAGATTCTACTTTAAAGATGACTTTGACTTGTTAAGTATTTTGTGTAAATGGGTAAAGGTTTTATGAATGTAAGGGAATCACACTTTAAAAATAGAATTGTGCTGCGTTATCTAAAAGTGAAAACTATCTCGTGCAAGGATGTTTCTCTCCAGATTATTAGTTTAAATTTTTCACATACAAGTCAGATTTTCTTGGTGCAAAATAAACTAAAAATTTTTAAAGTGAAGGCTTGAACATTGAGGTCACCGGTAGAGTTTAAGTGATTAACATGGTAGCCAAACGCATGATCACTGGCAAATTCGAAGTTGGAAGTCCGAAGTAAAAACTGCTGTACTAAATATTGTACTATTTGGCACTAGTCCTTCGAAATCTAGCGTGCCAAAAAAATGAATGGTAGTTTTTATGGTAATACTATGTTGAAATACTGTGGACATACTGGGTTAAGAAAAATATTGAAACATTTCTCGTCGTTTTATTTTGCTGTAATTTGGCTCTAGAAATGTTAAATTACATCACTCGCATTTATTTCCACTAGAAATATCTGGTATAAAGCAAACAGGAAAAATGGGGGGGGGGCAGGTCATATACACTAAGAATATCAAAGTATTTGTGGTACCATAGGAAACGTCTCAAGTCCTTGACCAATCTGATCATCGTTGGGGGCCTGGCTTATTTTTGTCCAATCAGCTTCAGACTCCGACTATAAGTAAGCGGCCGGCTTTCTCTTTCTTTACGCGAACCCTGATCTGGAGCTATGGCACGCACTAAGCAGACCGCGCGCAAGTCCACCGGCGGCAAAGCGCCGCGGAAGCAGCTGGCCACCAAAGCTGCTCGCAAGAGCGCCCCCGCCACCGGCGGCGTCAAGAAGCCTCATCGCTACCGGCCCGGCACCGTGGCGCTGCGCGAGATCCGCCGCTACCAGAAGTCCACCGAGCTGCTGATCCGCAAGCTGCCGTTCCAGCGCCTGGTGCGAGAGATCGCGCAGGACTTCAAGACCGACCTGCGCTTCCAGAGCTCGGCGGTCATGGCGCTGCAGGAGGCCAGCGAGGCCTACCTGGTGGGGCTGTTCGAGGACACCAACCTGTGCGCCATCCACGCCAAGCGCGTCACCATCATGCCCAAGGACATCCAGCTGGCCCGCCGCATCCGGGGAGAAAGGGCGTGAGCTCAAGACTCCCTAGCAATCTTCCCAAAGGCTCTTTTCAGAGCCACCCACACGCACGCTTAAAAGAGCTGTTGCTTGTGCTTCCTAGTCCCAATTCTGGACTTCTTAGACTCTCATTCTAATATCTTGCTACTGTTATACGTGTACTCGTTAGTTCCATATTATTTGGGTTCTCCAACATGTCATTCATTAAGCATCTAAATAAGACCTGATAGATTGGCCCGTGTATATGTATCATTTCTGTCCTGAACTTTTCAGTTTGCAAAATGTCTGGGGAAAAAATCAATTTTGAATCAAACCCAAGCCTTATTAATGTATGCTATCCAGTAATCAGAATTACAATCTCAATCCTTTTAGAAATTAGACAAGATCATTACTGCAGCCTTCGAATCTGCTCAATGAAATCGGTCATTAAGCACACACCAACAGGAATTAAGTAATCCAGATTTAGGGAAAATCTCACTCTCCCAAATTAACAACTAAATTAAAACTAACAGAACATGTGGAATGTTGCTTTTGAATCGCCTCTGTATAAAGTCCCTGTTCTCCCTCCTGGTCAGAATCAGACTCGGACAGGAATACCTTTTTTTGCTAGCAAAGCAATACAACTTTTCCCTTTTTCTCAAAATAATGTCCTCGTTATTGGATTGGCATCAAGGACAAGGACTGAGCTTTAGGTAACAATTAGGAATTAACTTTCTTCTGGGAAGGAAGGAAGCAATGGGATCACAGGGCCTCTGCTGAATACTGCAGGTTAAGTGTGCTGATCCAAGCTAAGGCTAATTGCTAAACAGATGGTATTCTTGAGTGTTGTAAGCAGTGCATTCCTTCCTTCCTGGTCGAGAAACTAAGAGTTATATTAATAACTTATATTAATAATTCAGGAAGACCCCACATAATTTTTTTTTCCAGGTTTACATCAAATTTTATTCTTGCTGGATAGATTGGGCACCTTCTGGGAATCTACAGCCAATATACTTTTCACAATTAATGCTTAGATTCTGATTATATGAAGCATTTGTTCAGGGGACAGTGATTGGTTGCAGTTATAAGTACATGGATATTCTCTGAAAACACTCTATGTGGTTAAACTACAGTAGTCTGTTAATATTTTCTGAACTTTGAGCATGCATGCTTTCAACTTACCATATAGGAATTCATTTTTGCTATAGTAATGACACACAAAAATGAATAATCAATAATGCCAGATTATTTTTGTTCATGCTAAGAGGTAGATAGCAATGCTATTCACTAAAACAGGGTCCATCTGGGGTATGTCTTATGACTTTCCTTGGCTGAGAAATCTAGAAAGTAGATGAATATGCATGTATGAATTCAGGAAAAAATTTTGTGATGGACAAAAAGATTTGGAAGTCATTATTATATAAAAAGTATTTTAAACTAAAAGAGTGACCTACAAAATTCCTATTGGCCGGTCTCTTATAACCTTTGTCATACTGTCAATATTGAAAATTGTATTTCGTTTCTTCAGCAAAGCCAAGTCTTTCGTGATGGGCATTTGCTGCTGGATCCCCCATAATTTCCAATTTCCCTTTCCCTCATATCACACGTTACCTTCCACAGATACTACCCCTCTATGTTCTCCTAATTACCTATGCTTTGGTTATTTTAGCTATAATATCTTCATTATTCTGCTTCTTCTCAGTAAAATTGTCTTTTTAGGACAGAAATAACTTTTTTTAAAAAATAGCCAAACTAGAATTTAATAAAAAGAAAAGTAGTCCTTACATCTGAATTTTCCAAGATGGAAAAACTGGTAAATGGCACAAATGTTCCAATGATTTTTAAGGCTCCAGAATAAAAGAAACTCACTATGCCTGTATAGACATATGGAAAACAATGAGGATCTTTGACCTCACTACTCTCAAAATGGCCATTGGCTTTTGGTGGGATATATGGATATACACATATGTGGATGTTATCTATAGGGATATATAAATATATATGTATACATATTACATATATTTTAATTTTTTTTCCAACTTAGGATATTCACCCATTAGTACTCCTGGAATAACAGCATTCAGTAGCATAATTATTATTACAACAGAGTTTGGGCTACTATACCTGGCCAGCTATTTAGCCTGCTTAGTGTACTGAGGAGGTATTTAACTCATTTGACCATAACAATGTTTGTGAGGGGTCTATAAAAATCCACAGGTACAAAAAGGTAAACTAGAAATATACAAAATAGAATTGGAAAATATCAGTATGCTTCTTACACAACTTTAAAGGTATTTTGTGAAACAAAACCTACATGTGAAACACACCTACATGAGACTATTATTTTTAAACTTTTGCAACTTCAAGAGTTGAGGGTAAAACAGATAGGCTAAAATAACTTATGCCTTAGTAGTACTACATTAAAGGAAACTTAAGTTAGAGGTTGAGGCGGGAGGACATCAAATTCAAGGCCAGTCAACTTAAAGACATGCAGTCTCAAAAAGGGATGGGGATGTCAGTGGCCAAGTGCCCCTGGGCTCAATTCCCAGTACTAAAAATAAAAATCTAAAGACTTATTGTCTTTAGACAGCAGCTTTTTGCTTGCATCTCTATAAACATTTCCTAAGCATCAGGGGTAATAATCGCTCTGGTGCATAAAAGATCACCTACTGGAAGTATGGGTTTATTTCCAATTAAATGTTCTTGTAAAGAACTTCACACTGTAGAGCACAAGTCAGCAAATACCCCCAAGTCCCTCATAGCTACCAGCTGAAAATTACCGCAAGGAAAGAGGTGGCGCACACTGGATGGTTTACCGCTCAAAAAGACAGTATTAACGGTATCTAAGAGACGTTAACGCTTAGTGTCACCCTTTTAATGACTGTGTAAGTGGCTCTGAAAAGAGCCTTTTTAAGCACTTGCAAATTTGGAGCTCACTTAGTTGTGTGGTGGGTCTAGGTCTTCTTGGGCAACAGCACGGCCTGGATGTTGGGCAGGACACCGCCCTGCGCGATGGTCACTTTGCCCAGCAGCTTGTTGAGCTCCTCGTCGTTGCGGATGGCCAGCTGCAGGTGGCGAGGGATGATGCGCGTCTTCTTGTTGTCGCGGGCCGCGTTGCCAGCCAGCTCCAGGATCTCGGCCGTCAGGTACTCGAGCACCGCCGCCAGGTAGACTGGCGCGCCGGCCCCGACCCGCTCGGCATAGTTGCCCTTGCGCAGAAGACGGTGGACTCGCCCTACCGGGAACTGCAGGCCCGCGCGGGAGGAGCGCGTCTTGGCCTTGGCGCGAACCTTGCCACCCTGCTTGCCGCGTCCAGACATACTCACAGAAAAACCACGAGGAACCTCTAAAACTGAAAGGCAAGTGGAAGGACGCAGTGTTTATAGTCTCCTCTGGGCGCGAAAACGAAGCTGTACGATTGGTTGGGCTTCATTTTCATTCTGACCAATGGGACGCAGCTTTGCAGGACGCGGACTGTGATTGGACAAAACTGGCAYCTGACGTCAGGTCAAGTTAACCACCAATCACCACAGACCTCTACTACTCCTCATTTACATGACATTCTATACTTAAAGAGGCCCCGGCGGTGAACTCCTCACTTTCGCCAGTTCGTTCTCGCCATGCCTGAGCCAGCCAAGTCCGCTCCTGCCCCGAAGAAGGGCTCCAAGAAGGCGGTGACCAAGGCGCAGAAGAAGGACGGCAAGAAGCGCAAGCGCAGCCGCAAGGAGAGCTACTCGGTCTACGTGTACAAGGTGCTCAAGCAGGTGCACCCCGACACCGGCATCTCGTCCAAGGCCATGGGCATCATGAACTCGTTCGTGAACGACATCTTCGAGCGCATCGCGGGGGAGGCCTCGCGCCTGGCGCACTACAACAAGCGCTCGACCATCACGTCCCGGGAGATCCAGACGGCGGTGCGCCTGCTGCTRCCCGGGGAGCTGGCCAAGCACGCCGTGTCCGAGGGCACCAAGGCGGTCACCAAGTACACCAGCTCCAAGTGAATGGTCCTGAGGCCGCGTTGACTAAACCCAAAGGCTCTTTTCAGAGCCACCCACGTTTTCTCAAAAAGAGCCAATTCGCTGTTTTTTCGTTTTTAAGGTAGAAATGTTTTGTAATCCTGTTGGAATTGTCTCTTTGTATTTGCCGCCGATTCTTATTTTCAGAAAGCCTTGCTGCATTGACAAGGCTCTTCATCTTTTTCCTTACGTTGCTAGTCTCTAGATTCTGGGTGTACACCACCATGCTTGCCCAAGACCTGTTTTATTCTGGAGCCAGCATATCCACTTGTTCTTATCACGCATTTCTCTATAAAGAGACCATCTATCCATCCTTTAGTCATATGTATTTGCTGTGCAAACTGGTTTTAAGTGCCTAATTTGCATCAAGCAAACTTCCTGCAATGGGGAAGTCCACATGGAATCTTGGGAAAAATGGGAATGTAGGCTCTAAACTGGGCAAGAAGCAAAGTAGACCCTGCTTCAAGTGATAAGAACCCGTGCAGTCCGGAGGAAGAGCTGCTCAATGCAGGGATCTGAGCAGAGTAGAATGGAGGACTCCTTTAGTTGCTGGTGTCATGAGTGGTTGAGGATAAATGTGGCAGGATCTGCCAGAGAGGCCTTTAAGATCCTGAGGGGTTCTGTTCACTTTGAAAAAGGATTTACCATGGGAAGGCAGATTCGATGCAAAATTTAAAAATTTATGAAATGTGTGATACAGATTCATTTTTTCTAGTGGCTCAACTGGGAGTAGATTGGAAGGTAGTGAGATCAGAGGTCAAGAGGTTGGAAAAGCCAGTTAGCAGCAAGATTAGAAATAAGGCAGTCGGAAAGAGGAGGAGAAAAAGGAGGAAGGAGGATGGAAGGGACAAGAGTCTGCTGACTTGAGGGGAAAATAAAGGAGGACAAACCTGAATGACATGTAGACTTAAGCTTCTGCTGAAATGCAGAATTTCACCAGTTTGGCCTCTTCTCAGTCCCTGGAACCTTCCTTATCACAAAACATAGTTAAGAAAAAGCTTGCAGAAGGAGGATTGGGGGAAAAGAGAATTTGCTTTGTTCATTCATACTAGAAATATTTATTACTCATCCACTATGAGCCAGGCATTGTTAGAAATTCTATCAATATGGCAGTGAGTAGAATATTAAATTTAGCCACACACAACATTTGACTGCTTTTGACCCTCAGAGAAGACAGTCTCATGTTTCAGCCTATCAACAAAGTGCCTGAATGCAGTGAGTACTACAAGTTAGGCTCCTCAGACCTCAGGCTTCTAGAGTATGCATCTTCTGGCTGATGTACATCCCTTGGTTGATAGAGCAATTTGTGTAGCCAACTAGTATTTTCTAGGGATAATAATGAACCTATTGACCTATTTAACATTTATTGATGGCTTGTTAACTGTAAGCTATACTCAAATTATTTTGTTTTAATTCACTTCATTGTCTCAACAGTCTTAAATAGGCTCTGCTATTAATCCCACTTTAGAGCTGAAAAGGTTAGGGTTAGGGTCAGCAAGTTGTCTGAGGAATAAACTTAATGAAGCTTGAAGTGAGACTACGGGAGAGCTTCAGTTTGTGAATTCAGCTCACCATCCTGTCGCCGCCTTGAGTGGACTGCCCCAGAGGAATGCCAGTCAGTTTTTCCTGCATAGTTTTCCAGCAAACTATAAGTAAACGAAAGCTTTGCAGTGGTGGGTGGAACTTTACAACTTGACCCTGCCCAAGGAATGTACACAACTCCTCCATATTAATTCGAGACTTGCCAGTTGCAGTCCAGCCAGAATGGAGTTGCTTTTGTCTTAATTCACCTAAATACTCTCCTTCTGACCCAAACTGCAGGGATCCTTGCTGCTGTCCAGAACCATGCTTCTGTCAATAATTCCTCAAAAAGTTGCACTCTGTGCAATCCTGGATCTGTCTAACTCTCCTGTTCTTACTCTTCTAACTCTTTAATCTCATGGCATCCGGGGGTTGATCTCAGGCACAAGGACTGAGTTGTTCTGGAACACTGAGGCAGCTCAGACAGGGGACAATGAGGAAGGAAAATGGGAATGGGCCACATTTCTGGAGCCTCACATTTAGAAGCGTCTCATACATGAAATCCTAAACTCACAAGCTTCTTGGGTAGAAGTGATAGATAATAGAAGTGAGCAATGGGAGCCGGATGTAGACATAATTCTTGAGTCTGAATTACTCTGCTGACCCCTCCACATGCTTTCTTTTAAAGGGCAGTTTACCTGCGGCCTTGTCCTGGCTTAAGTAAATAAGCTATGCTACATTCTCAGCAAAAATCTGTTATCTGCAGAAGAAATTCATGAGCTTTACCTCGACCAAAGATTCCGGGGCTCAAAGATGCAGGATCTCACTGGCTTGGCCTCTTCTCAGTCCTGGGAACCTTCCTTACTACCTTTAAAGGGACCGAGGCTTCCGGGGTCTGACATCTGCGTTTCCCGATTTAAGAGCTTTCCAAATTCAGCCTGTTTCAAACTCCTTAAAAATTCCCGGTTCTGTGGAACGTACGCCTTCTTCGGAGGAGGAGATCCAGTACTCGTATTTTTCTTATTTTCGTTTTCCCAAATAAATTCCGCCTACTACTATGTGCGTCCCACTCGCGATTCTTTCTTGCTAGATTGCAAAGAACGGGCGGTCTTTAGGACCCTGCGCGCGTCCTGTCTTCCCAGTCAGTCCCCCGCAAACGCTTTCTGCCGGGCGTGGGCAGCTCCCGCCGCTCGGGGACTCCGCGCCCCGGCGAGGTGAGCAGGTGAGCGAGGACTTCCCCAGCTGCTTCGGCTCCGCGGGGATGCGGGCGGCTAGCCCTGTAAAGCCAGGACAGCATGCAAAATGCCAGGGCGAAGGACAAACCTAGGAGGAAGAGAATATTGCACACGATGGGAAATCAAGACGTGCATCGTTCCTCGGTCTTTAACAAGGGGCTCTCAGGTGAGCCCCGAGTAAAGCAAGGACAGGGCTCAGGAAGACTTGAGCACGCTTGGGCGAAGCTGTGATGCCAAGTCTCAGGCAGAGTTGGGCTTGATGGAGCAGGACAGTCACAGAACTCTGATCCAAATAGCATTATATTCAAATAAAACCGCAGTGCTAAACTAGTTTATTCCATCGTTCCCTCTTTAAATGTCCTTTGGATCTTTATGGTTAGAAATAATGAGTCAACTTCTGAGAAATCTGTGTTCTAATAAACCAGAGTAGTAGTGTTTGCATTACTATTAGAGGTATTTATACCCATTCCTTGCATTAATTGCATTGTTTCTATGCCTCAATAAAGACACCATACCTGCTGTAAACTCATGGTCAAAGTCCTCCCGATTTTTTTTTTTTTTTTTTTTTTTTACTTTTTTTTCAGTGGAGGAGAGAGAGGAGAGAATTCACCTTGGGAACCGGGCCCAATGCAACAATTTAGAAAATTTGCACAATGGATCAATTTTAACATGTAGCTATTATTCAGTTGTAATGGTTGAATTTTATTATGATGAAAATGTAAAACGGTGGTGTAAGATGAAAGTGGAAAAAGCAGCTTGAGTTGGATGGGCTGAAGTAGCTTGCAGGACATGTGGAAGCTTTTCAAAGCCACTGGTGCCATTGACCAGACCAACTGGACCAGGTCATGTCCTCTGTTCGTTAACCTTGCATTGAACTCAAATGTCACAGCTGATTTTTCTGAAGCCTGATCCTTTTCCTTGGTTTGCCACTTTTCTAAAAACATATTGTTCTCTGTTTAACATGCTATGTAAACTAGAGCTCTAGTTCACCTTTCTGAACTAATGATTTCTGGGAGACATATGCTATATACCATTAGCAGGTCAGTGGACTTGTTTGGCTTTTGCTACTCTCTCCTTCCCTTTCTTCTCTGCATTGCTCTTCTCTTTTCAGCTCCAACTAAGAACTCAAAAGGGCAGAGAGAAAATAATTTTTCTTCTCCTCCCTGGGGCATACAGACAAACCAGGTGTTTCTAACAAAGGTAATGACAGACTTGGGAAAGCAATCTCCTTCTTAGGTGGCTTCTTGGTTTCATAATTCCTCTCTCATATCTTTCATCTGCTTACTGAGACTTGACTTTAACCACATGTACGTGTGTGTCTTCTGTTTGAGGTGTTGGTGATGTTTGAAGGTAGAAAATAGGAGAGTAAGCTTCAAGGAGGATCTTAATGTGACTTTTTCCTATTTTAGCTGTAAGATACTATTTAGAAATTGTTTCAAAACAAAATTTTAGGTAAAGATGTATTCAAATAGAGTAGGAACTTAAAGAAAATAAATTATTGTAATAAACACTTTATATAGGCTAATAAATACAAATAAACGTTAATTAAAGTATACACATAAAAAGTCAACAGGTAACTGAATATCAAAACTGAATATCAAAAGAGCAGATGCTAACAATAGATTTTTTTAGCTATTATGTAACTAGTAAGATCTTATGAGCTAGTCTAATAATTTCACTCGATTATCTCCATTAATTTTTAGTGTCCTCTGGAGCAAATGCTATTGTCTTCACACTCACAAAGATGAGGGAATTAAGGCAAAATAAGAAGTAACTGCACCAAAGCCAGGGTTCAAGTCTAGGCTTGTCTGATGGTAGAATGAACTATTTACTATTCCCTGGTCATAACTACACCAAAAACCTGAAAAAGAAGTAGTTACCTTTTTACATTGTGTCAGGATTTGTGACGATTTCTTTTAGAGTTAGAAGACCTGCACAATAGATCTGTGAGGGAAGGAGCACTTTCCACCCTCCAAGTGTGGATGAACTGTAAGTAGAGGCTATACATTTACTACGTGCACGGGGCACCACGTGAAGGAGAGATGAACACCTGAGGCCCTGGTAGTCTAGAAGTTTAGCCCTCCTCATAATGGGGAGGGGAAAGCAAATTGTTTGGGGGGAAGATGAAGGGCCCTAGGAGAACAGGTGAGGTCCTGTGGCCAGGTCTGTCTGCATGCTGGTGACCTTCACTCTTCTAGGATACAGCTCATCTCTACTTGATGAGATTCCTGGAAGAGAATTCCTCACAATTTCTTTCTCTATTTTTAGATAAGGGGAATTCAGAGAAAGCCCCTGGCTGTATTTGCTGTTCCTCACATGCCTTCAGTTTGATGTGCAAATGAACATATTTTGGGTTGGCACTCAGCAAACACCTGCATCCCAATAGATGTTGAAAAATAACAAATATGTGAAGAGACGAATATTTTTATAGATATATATCAGTGCTAGGGTTACCTTTAAACTGTGATTTTTAGTTTAGTTTTTTTTTTCCCCAGTGTGTCTAATCTGTATCTTCTGAATTTTTAACCATATACATGAATTGCTTGGTAGTTAGTCCTACCAACTGCTGTACTGCAATTCAGTTGTGGCACTAAGAGGCTGGAGACGACCAGTTGAGGGGCGCAGGTTGAAGAGCATGTTTCCAATGAGACTGGCTGTCTTTACTTTCAGACACTAGCTGCAAGTATGGCTACTAGGCCCCTTGTCCTTCCAGGTACTTGTCATCAAATTCAGGGTCTCCCACAACCCTTTCAGGCTCTATAATCTGGAAAAATGACATAAAATACAGTAAAAGTCTGCCCTTCTGATTACACTCTATCATTAAATGATTCAAATTGAGGTCAGTAAAATGAAACACACAGGGTAAAGCCTGGAAATTCCCTGAAAGCAGCACTTCTGTGCCCTTCCCATGCAGATTCTGGAAATCATCTCCTGTAGGTTCAGGAAGTCACCTTCCCAGCACATCTATGTATGCACCAAGCTGCAAGCTCACTGCCTTGATGTCCAGGGATTTATGGGCTTAATTACATGGACATGACTGAAACATTCTGTGATTGAACTTAATTCCTAGACTCCCTGAAAGGTGGTGCTGGCTTTAAGCCCTGACTTTAATCCTATGGCTGATCTTGTTGGTGGGTGACCAGGCCCCATCCTGGGTCATCTCATTTCTTTATACAAATCCAAAGAGTTTCCAAACAACACAGATAAAACACGGAAATATTACTTAACCTTCTCATGCCCTTCCATGTAAGTGCTAGCCATGAAGAAAGTCTCTGACCTTCCTTGGCTGGTGGTAGAGAAAACCACCTTCTGGAGCAGCCCTGCCCTCCACCTGGGAGAAGGAATGCCATGAGAGGCCAAGACATCTGGACAGGAGTTGCTGGGTTCCTCTCTCAGCCTGTTGCCATTAAATCAGAACCTTTTGCACATTTTCACTTCTATACAACTAGTGTTCATCAAATCGAAGCATAAAAGGAGACAGTTTTCTCTTGATCTTTGTTTCTGAAGGCTACTGTGTCATGTAAAATTTTGATTAAATAAATAATTTACGGTTTTCTCTTGTTAGCCTCTCTTTTGTTATAGGAGTCTGAGGAAAGGGATCACAGCTTTCCATCCCTGCAGCCACTCTTTCTGCTTCAATTTATTAATAAACGCTGATCACATTATTAATAAATTATGATCAAAATGCTAAAGAGATTTCATTTATTTTTACTTAAACTTGCATTTAGTTAACAATGTTTCAAACACCTTTCAATGGAAATGAAATAGAAAGTGCATCAATTTTACCTAGTAAAGAAGTTAATATATATATTATATATTATATTATATATATTATATATATTGAGAATTTTTAAATACTTATTTATTTATTTTAGTTTTCGGTGGACACAACATCTTTATTTTATTTTTATGAGGTGCTGAGGATGGAACCCAGCGCCCCGTGCCTGCCAGGCAAGCGAGTTACAGCTTGAGCCACATCCCCAGCCCAAGAAGTTAATATATTAAAGAATATTTTCTCACTTGAAAACAATAAATCAGGCTAAGGCCTAGTGGCCAATTGATTAACCTGACTCAATCATCTACATCAAAAATAAATTCTGAGTATAATAGATTGAAAAGAATCATACTAGATCTGGAGTGTAGCCCAGTGATAGACCCCTCATGCACATGGTCAACACTTCACCTACAAAAGTCACAACAGCCAGTGAGGGTACACTTATAAACAGTTACTGCTATTACCAGTGAGAATAAAAAAGCTTTCTGAGGGTAAGGTAATAATATTAATCAAATACTTTTAAAGCTGCACCCTCTGTGACAAAACATTTCAACAGAAGCCATCCCCAGAAAATATCAAAATTTTCTTTATAGTAGGAGAAAATTGAGAAAGCATATTATTGTTAAATACTAGACATCTGTTAAAATGAATCAGAAATTTTTTATGATGGACTATTAAGGAGACTTAGTGACTTTTAACATTTTTCCTGAGGCTGATTTTCAAAATCAAATTGTGAACAATCTGAAGACTGGCTAAATTATGTAATAGATTAGAATTTCAATAGTAATTGCATGTGGTAAAAGTGGTAGGTCATCAGTGGGTAAAAGATGAATTATTTAAAAAAAAATCAGACTGCTAGTGAGTCGGTGAGACTGTCTTTTGAACTCATGAAGAGGTCCGACTCGAAAATCACTTTTGGATTCTCTCAACGGAGACTGATTAAAATGCAATCAGCCTTCGGAAGTTGCAGGCGCCCGCATGGCGCTGTCCGCAGGCGGCGTCTAGGATCCGTGAGCCGCAGGGTGCGTTCTGTGCGGCGGGACCTCGCAGGGTACCCAACCGCAGGCCGGTTTTCCACAGGGTGTGGTTCTGCGTCCCAAAGCAGCTTTACAAAGCTTGAAGGCGGGGCCAAGACAGCTCCCCGCCAACGTCGGGCCAGGAAGTGAGAACCCGCGGTCTTCTCCCCTCCCCCTGCCGGCTTGCCGCCTCCCTCCCGTGGTTCTCAGCTTGGTCCGCCGGAGACGTATAAAGGCAGCCTCCAGGGTTGGTGTTCTCGTGGCTTTCGGTCTTCGCTTGCAGTTGCCATGTCTGGTCGCGGCAAAGGAGGSAAAGGCCTGGGCAAGGGCGGCGCCAAGCGCCACCGCAAGGTGCTGCGCGACAACATCCAGGGCATCACCAAGCCCGCCATCCGCCGCCTGGCCCGCCGTGGCGGCGTCAAGCGCATCTCGGGGCTCATCTACGAGGAGACCCGCGGCGTGCTCAAGGTGTTCCTGGAGAACGTGATCCGCGACGCCGTCACCTACACGGAGCACGCCAAGCGCAAGACGGTCACGGCCATGGACGTGGTCTACGCGCTCAAGCGCCAGGGCCGCACCCTCTACGGCTTCGGCGGCTGAGCGTCCTGGTGCCGCCGTCGCTTTTCTCAACTAAAGGCCCTTTTCAGGGCCGCCCACTCCCGCGGAAGGGCCGCAGCACCGACAAGTTCGCCTCAACTCAGGAGCCCACCCCGACCCCGCGTCCTCGGTTAGGGTGAAGCGGGTCCTCCCTGAGCCCTGGGGCTTTGGGGCTCCTCAGCGGTTACGAGACTCCGAGGTCCCCTGGTATTTTCCTCTGCTACAGGAGGGGTGGGTGCTATTAATGGTCTCCCTGAGCCTTTTTCTCTACGATCGTCGGTAGGTTGAAGGGGCTTGAAGCCTTAAGTGGCTCTGAGACCAATGTTAAATGGGAAGCCATCAAAGGGTTCCAACAAGGTTACATAAACACGAGGTGACATTTGAGAACTGTGTTAAGACGTAAGGTGCTCTTGCCTCACCAAGGCAGCCTTTAAGACAAAAGGAGCAGCTTTATACCATGATAAACCTTCAGCACTGAAGAGAAAGTATTATATTGCATATACTTTAAGTGTTCTTTTTATATGTAACATTTTTAAATCCGGCTTAGAAATCTGACTTTTGCTTACTGCCTGATGTAGTGCAGCATCATGTAACACATGTAACAACACAGCCTTTTCCAAATAAAGGGCCAGCTTTTGCAATGCAGCCACTGCATTATTTATATATAATATTTTAGGAGGTGCCTAAGGGACCATAAGTCGTACATATTGTTTCCTAATGTTATAAGAGTTTATAGTTAGTCATATGCAATTGTAAGAACTGTTATATTCTGCATAATATAAGAAAAGGGGCAGGTCAAAAAAGAAAATTTTGTCTCAACCAGATAAAATGTTATTAATATATTGTTTACCAATTATGCTTTTTTAAAAAAGATTAGCACAAATGTGGTAACACATTGGCCTTACATGGATTGGTTTTGCTCCTATGTATACATACTTTTGCTGTTAAATAATAGGAAATATTTTTATGGGATAAATCAAAAGACCTGGAAGTCTGTGTCCCCATTATTGACAGTATGATACCTAAATAAATGATTTCATCCTTTTGCCTACTGTTGTTGAGTCATATACTGAACAAGTCATAATCTCCATCATCTACATACACTAATCCAAAGCTTCCTACTACAAATTACAGATCTGAGATTGAGTTTTCAAGAAGTATCAAAAGAAAAGCCTACAGATACCATTCAGACTAAAGTTGAGGACTGATTTAAGATTTTCAGGACACAATAGAAGCAGAAGGCTTCACCCAAGATCAACAAGGCTAGAATTATTTAGTTAGGAGTGAAATTACTGATTTTATTGTGGCTAAAATTCCTTTACTAATTTCTTCCTAACTTACTTTTAGTTGCTATCTTTTTAAATTTCCAGTTTCAGGAAAATATTGAACATCTTCTGATATATTGTTAGGAATACTTAAGAATGTCTTTGTAGAAAATATACAACACACATGGATTGGCCTTGTTTAGAAAACAACAGAGGAGAGATTGGATGTTATACAAAATAATTTTACTATGCCCCAGTACTTTTCATAGGGATGTAGTTACTGACAGAGGACTCACTCTTTCTTAAAACAAGCAGTCTTTTATCTCTTCACAACTCTATCATGAAAACAGACCAAGTAGGACAAATGATGAGATTCAAAATACCATATTATGAAAATACTTGTTTAAGGGTTGGATCATAATTGCTAGAATTCATGATCTTGGTTTCCTGACATTTGAAAATTTGGCTCTACCGTAGTTTTACTTGACAATATTTAGTGTGATGATGAAATTCCCCACATGTGTCAAGGGTAGATGATTAGTAAGTACAGCACATGTTCAAATATATTATAATTAAAAAAGGAAGGGGGGATAAAGAACTGAGAGTAAGTGATCAGGAGGCAGTACTTATACAGGATACACCTGGGTGTTAAACATGCTGGAGATTCCAAGTGCCTCAATTCAGCTGCCCACTGGCAATACCCAGTCTGGCCCATGTGGCCTGTTTCCAGGAAGCAAGCAAAATGCATGGTTCTCTATCTTGTGTTGAGCACCAGCTGTGGCCAGGCATATTTTGTCTCTCTTCTTCAATACAGTAGGTCCCTGTCGTGGACCAGGGTACCTTCCATGAAATGCAGGTACCTTCCACCTTGCCTGAACCTGGACTCTGTTCTTAATAGTGCCACCATCACTGACAATGGCTGATGCATCTGTGAGAGAGATGAAACACCTGAGCACTCTCCAGCCCTCTGTGCAGCTGCTGGGGCCCACCTGCTCCATTCTGAGCTGCAGGGCATTTAAAGTGACTCCATATGCCATCTAACCCCAGCCTTTTAATTTGGCTGTAGTATTTTTGTACCATGGGAGAGTTCATCTGGTAATGTATTTGGAGACTACCCTGGCCTCAAGATGACTCCCACAGGATAAAAGTGGAAGCAAGAAAACATTAAGGAGACTAAGGCCACAGAGGAGGTAGTCCCTCACAGGTGGAGGTCTTGAGTGATGGTAATTTCTGTGTATTTTTTGAAGGAGAAAAGAAGGAGCTTCTTGAAGAATTGGATGAAAACATAAAAACAGACACAGGTGAAATTATTATCAACCAAATGGGGTGATTTCTAAATATAAGACTTGGCAGGGGAATATGAGGTGTTCCATTTTACGTATATCACCCTTAGTTTATGAAGTATGCATGTGAGGAAAGAAAGCAGAGTTGAATATGTCTGGAGGAGGGAAACCTGGGTTGGAGATGTAGAAGTGGAAATCTTTTATGTACAGATGGAGTTTAAGGTTCTGGTAGATGAGATCTCCAAGGGAGTGAGTTTACAGAAAAGTCCTAAAATCAGCCCTGTGCTGCTGTCTGTTGAGGGGCTGGGGAGAAGATATGGCCTAGCAGTAGATACAGAACCATTGGGTGGGTAGGGCTAGGGGGGTGGGGATGAGTTGGGGTTCAAGTGAAGGAAGTACAGAAGAGAGACATTGTCAGTCCAGTGTGTCAGTATTTTCAATAGCCAAGTAAAATGAAGACTGAGTGCTGAAAAATTGGCCACTAGATATAGCAAAATGAAGATCTTAAAAACCAGTTATTTTGTCTTCTAGCAAAAGTAGCACCATGGGGCAGAGGGATTTCTTTCTTTTCTTTTTTATTTTCTCCTTGTATCACTGTGCCAAGTAAGGGTTTGAAACATAGTAGTTATTCAAGGAACTTATTGAATGAAGGTTTGAACTAATTTCCTAATGCCCATTGAGACCTCTGTCAGTAATATGCTTGGCCAGGGCAGAGTACTAAACAGGCAGCAACACTAGCAAATCCTGTGGAGTAACAGTGCTGCCTCTCAGGGTCTTAGAGTAAAGACCATATCTCCTTTTGACATGGGTGTCAGTGCAGCTGGAGAGGAAAGCCCAGACTCCTGATTTCTGGTGTCTTGGTTGTAACTGCTGGACATAGCAAATGCTTATAGCAAGGTCTGCTCTGTGTAGGTGTCTAGTCAATTCCCTAGCAATTTGCTAATCAGACACATTTTGTTTTTAAATAATTATTTTCCACACTAAACATAGATTTACCTCTTCCCTACACTTGGAACCAATAACTGCAATTTTTATTTTTTTAATATATCAAATTTAAAATCTCTAACTGTATTAACTGACTTACCAGATAATGTAGGCCCCCAGAATAAAAGGAATAAAACTTGGGGGTTCCTGGGGGACAGTGGGGACAAAGGGAAGCTGAAGGGAAGAGTAGGGGCATGAAAGTCACCTTGTTATACAGATGAGTCTCTCAGGGTACAGAATCATCTCTGTGTGCTTTTTGGTCCAAGTGACTTTGCTAGTGAAAATTTCCTTTATAAGTGTAAGCCTCCCTTACAAAAGGGAAATATATATTTTATGCAGTCGAGGGTGAAGGAGATTTTTCTGTTGGCTGCTTCTCAGTTCTCTTCAGCTCAAAATAATCAAAATACTAAAACTGCTTATTTGGGGTGATATGTTCTGAGCCTCTTCAGTCACAACAGCTGAAACAGTAAAGGGAAGGTGATCACTTTCAATGTCCCACTGCCAGTCCCTCTTTATTTATACAGACCCCATTCAGACACTGCCATCATATCATGTAAGTAATTGAAATATTAAGCATAATCAATAAAAATCTGGAATAACAGATATTATAATTTTGGAGCCATCAAAAATAACCTCAAGGGAAAAAGGGTTAGAAAAGCATTGTTAGGGAGGCTCAGGCCTGTGCATGTCTTATTAGGAGCTCTGATACTCTGACTGTAGTTCTCTCCCCTTTTCAGGACTCCTTGCATCCCTCCAAAACACTGGTCCCCCTAAGCACTTGTACTTCTTCCTTGCTCCATGAGGTACTTAGTGATTATTACCATCACTATCATTTATGTAAATCTGAGATTGATGGGTTGGAGGTGTTAGACCAGGACGCAAAGACCACTGACTCCAATTAAAATCAAATTAAAGCAAGCTTATTATTTCCACCAGCCGAGGTGCCTCTCCCCCCAAAAAACACAGGAACAAGACAGCCCTGCAGCTTGCTTGCAGCCCAGCTTTACAGCCCAAAAAGTTACACAAAAGGGGGTTACAGGACACTCTAACACGTGCCCAAGGAGAAAAGGGACGCTACTCACAGGATCCTTAATTTGCCCCAGATGGGAGTTCAGCCCTGTAGTATGAACGCACACGGCAACTTTGCATTCGTGGATTCCGTTATACCGTAAGCGCCAAACAGTCTTCATAAACTACTGCAGGCTATCAACTATTGGAACAATTGTGCATCACAGCTCCTCTGCTTGATCTGGTGGGTGGCTCTGAAAAGAGCCTTTGGTTTTAGGAAGGYTAGGTTATAGGGACTTCACTTTCCCTTGGCCTTGTGGTGGCTCTCGGTCTTCTTGGGCAGCAGCACCGCCTGGATGTTGGGCAAGACACCGCCCTGCGCAATGGTGACTTTGCCCAGCAGCTTGTTGAGCTCCTCGTCGTTGCGGATGGCCAGCTGCAGGTGGCGCGGGATGATGCGCGTCTTCTTGTTGTCGCGGGCCGCGTTGCCAGCCAGCTCCAGGATCTCGGCAGTCAGGTACTCGAGCACCGCCGCCAGGTAGACAGGAGCGCCGGCCCCGACCCGCTCGGCATAGTTGCCCTTGCGCAGGAGACGGTGGACTCGCCCTACCGGGAACTGCAGGCCGGCGCGGGAGGAGCGCGTCTTGGCCTTGGCGCGAGCCTTGCCACCCTGCTTGCCGCGTCCAGACATACTGAAGTGACTTTGGAAGTCGCTGCAATCTAACCTGAACTAGCCGGAGCTGGCTACTTATAGTCATTCCCGGGCGCGAAAATGACACTCTGCCATTGGCTCCAATTACACTTTCACTTTAACCAATGGTATGATGGCTGTGAAATATACTTAGTTTGATTGGATAAAGTTAGTAGATGACGTTTCTGGAGTCACCACTAATTAGGGACTCAACTTTGCCCCAGAACCTGCCAAAGGAGACGCAGCTAAGTCGTACACTCTTTGTTCCTGTTGTACTTTTCGGCAGGTCCTCTCCACCATGCCAGAGCCCTCTAAGTCCGCTCCTGCCCCGAAGAAGGGCTCCAAGAAGGCGGTGACCAAGGCGCAGAAGAAGGACGGCAAGAAGCGCAAGCGCAGCCGCAAGGAGAGCTACTCGGTCTACGTGTACAAGGTGCTCAAGCAGGTGCACCCCGACACCGGCATCTCGTCCAAGGCCATGGGCATCATGAACTCGTTCGTSAACGACATCTTCGAGCGCATCGCCGGCGAGGCCTCGCGCCTGGCGCACTACAACAAGCGCTCGACCATCACGTCCCGGGAGATCCAGACGGCGGTGCGCCTGCTGCTGCCCGGGGAGCTGGCCAAGCACGCCGTGTCCGAGGGCACCAAGGCGGTCACCAAGTACACCAGCGCCAAGTGAGTTCGCACACCGCGGAGCGGTAGCCTCAGCTCACACCACAAAGGCTCTTTTAAGAGCCACTCACTCCTCCAAAGAGAACTGGCACTCGCATATTTTATCGTGCATTTATTTGTTGCATAAAATAGTTTCTATGTTTCATTAGTCTTGTTTGATTCACGAGCATATAAAGAAGGGTTACTTTTTTCTTTCCCCAAAATAGCCCACCTGTAAGTGCGTGTACCTGGCGAAATTTAGTTGGACATTGCATAATTTACCAGTGCCCCTTATTAATTGGGCACTGGACATCAAGACATGGAGAGTACTCATTTAAGATTTTTCTTTTGAAAGCGATGCTGTTTCTCCCCTATTTGAATTTGCCAAAAGTTAAGAAAGAAAAGCAAAAGCCAGAACCCCATTGGTGAATCCTACGCGTCAATCAGGGCTGAGTTGGTTCAATAGCCAATCCAGACGCTGCGCGGGCAATTTGAAAATTAGCTACCGGTTTCTTTGACTAGTTGGGAGATTCAGGCGGGGCTGTTGGTGGTGGACCTTTACCAGTCAACCCATCCTTTACTTTGCGGAATTCGCTCTCCAGGACAAGTTGGTTTCTGCTCTCCTCCTTTCTTGGTGTGGTCCACATGATGCTTTCTTTCTGTGTCACTCTCACTTCATATTTCTCTACTAAGTGGAATAAATTTGAAAAGGAGAGGAGAAAGAAGAGCTGTTCCACTATCCCTCAACCCAGACTGCCTCTGGACTTTTATTTGCGGAAAGTTTAATGATAACTTTTATTTAGTTAGTGTACTCCAGTAACTTAACTAATTGATTTATGGGTGTTTAGGTGAGAATATTCTGCACACGTGCAACAGGAAACATACAAGAATAGAGCAACAATATTAACAGCGAGCTCGTGTTTATGGTAAAAAGGATAAACTCTAAGGTTGAGGTATGTTCACAGGATGCTTATCGTACAGAGGAACGTCAGTATTAGCTTCATGATACCATTTTATAAATATATAAAAAAAAGATATCACTTTTTTAGAGGTTAAAAAAAACACCCCAAATTATATAGTGTTTAAGTGTATTTAGAAGCATGTATATGATAATAAACTTTTAAAAGGAGACATTCATAAATACATTTTTAAAAATATCCAGCAGTGGCCTCTGGTAATAAAAACAGGGAAGTGGAATGGGGAAAGCCACAGAGGTAAGGACAAATAGCTGCAACATTTTATGCTGGAGGTTAGAAGTTTGGCCTGTGTGTTTGATATAATTTGCTTGCTTTATACTTTACATGTATATCATCTGTGTTCCCTTCATGTATCAAATATTGTACTGCAAATAGTGAAAGTAAACATGTAAAAATAACTTCCAAGCCATGTAACTTGTATTCAGAAAAAATGGGTAAATGAGAACCCTGTACCTAGTAATGCTTCTCCAGATTTTATTTCTTTTAGAGAGAAGGAAAGGGAAAAGAAGCTTGATAGACCATTAAAAAGGCCCATGGATTCAGTAAGCTCATTCTTTTGGTTAAGATTCATTCATCAGCCAACCTCCAGATATCTTTGCTCCTGATTCTGCAGACTTCTAGGAAGTACTTGGGGGATCCTGGTGGGACTTCAGTTGGTTTCTTCACATTATTTGATGTATTGAATCTGCATGTAGCATAAAACTGATAGAATTCATGCTTCATGAAATTCAGCTAATGAAATGCTCTTTCCCCTGCTTCAGCAGCTACCTAAATCCCCAGTGAGCCTCCAAAGCTGGCTATATGAGGCCAGGGTAAAACTAGACTTCCTTTAGTTCCTCCAGCTCTTGTAAACCTCGCCTCTGCACAGCCTCTCACAGAATCTCCGTGCCATCTCTCTGTGGTGTCAATGTGCATAGGTATTTTGTGTGTCATACGTTTACATGTGTGGGTGTGCATCCCTCCATCATTTTGTTAGAACAGGCATTGTATGTTTTTTTCAGTTATATATCTTCTCCCACTTCTTACCACCAACACATTTGAGGAGAGTAAATTCACTCTATGTTTATTTAATGATTCCTTATGGCACAGGTGACTTTGAACTTCTGTCAATATAGTCAGCAGCAAATTCTGGTATTGGTCTAACCAGTTATCCAGAATGAGGAAAGCAGCGGATACAATCCAGAGAGGAAATGAAAATGATTTAGAGGGGTTAAGTTTCCTGAGTATTTTCTCTAGCCAGGATGAAGATGACAGAGGCTACTGCTTATTGAAATTACACAGGGAAGTCACAGGCATATGATAAGTTTTGGTTATCAGGACCTACATGAGAGACTTGGAATTGTCAGAAGGAAAGAAGTCTAGAAGAATGCAGGGGTAGGGTGGCTAAAATCTGTGCAGAATGGAGAAACACATACAGAAGGAATTTGTGATCTCTCAAAAGATTTATGTATCAGCATCGTTGGTCTCCATTATTTAGAAAGTCAAAATTCTGGAAACACACAAAAAAAGGAACAAACAAACAAATCCCAAATCAAAAGAACCCAAGGGTAGATTTTTGTGTTATTTGCATCTTGGTGACCCCAGTGCCTAACCTTTTGTTGCTGAATAATCTTGATGAATTGATGACATTTCTTACCACTCAGCTTGGGAAACTGATTTCCCCTAACTTAAAATAGGATGTTGCTTCATTGTTTTATTCTGGAATTCATACCTGGTATCTTTAATAATTTATATAAATTGTTTCAAGTATTTTTTTTTTTTTTTGTCAATCTCTTCCCCAGTTTCAAAAAATAAAAAGGGCCAGGAATTTGGCTTAGTGGAAGAGGGCCCTGGGTTCAATCCAGTACTAGGGAGAAAAAAAGAAAAAAAGATTTTCCCTGAAGAACAATTTATGGAGCAGAAAAGAGCACTCTCCACCATTGAAGTAGAAGAGGGAATATGATCCTGAAGGACTTTACCGCAAGCTGTGTCACCACCAGGGCCCGTATCCAGCCTAGAGGAACTTCATTGGAGAGAGCACTCCTTCCCTGGGAGCCAGTAAGAAACTTGACAGAGCTTAACTTCAGTCCTTCCAGATTTAGGCATGCCACCCTGCTTCAATTATGACCTTATAGCAGACAGATATGTTAGTGTTGTCTGAGATAAGTTTCGGATTGCTAGCATCTCTTCATCATAAACTTCTCAGCCATTCAAACACACTATTTCTGCAGGTGGACATTTTATCCATTGCCTTTCGCTTCCTAACTTTGACTTCTGTGGCTGTGCTTTTCTGATACAATCATCAAATCTTAAATTGGTTCCTGTTGGGAGACTTTGGTAATGCAAAAGTGCAGCACCAAAGCCCCAATGAATCAAAACACAACCCAAGAGTGTTTTCCCAGACTTGAAAATAATTAAGAAATTGCTTGAAAATGAATATTCCTCGGGGTTGATGCATGTGAGTGGTTTCACCAGGGTTTGAGGCGGACCTGAGGTGGAAGGAGCAATGCTGGAGGTTGGGTACTGAGGACAAGTAAGCCATCCCCACAGGAGCCCCAGGACTCCACCGTTCAAGGAAGAACAACAGAGCACCTGAACTAGTGTTCTGTGGTCCTGCTAGAGAGACGTTTTCTATTTTTGGATTGAGAAATTAGGAAAAGTGAGAAGGGAACAGAGGTTTTGAAGTTATTGATTTGAGGAGAACCTTTAGATCCCAAGACACAAAGGCAGACACCCAAGTCACGGAATTTGACAGCCCGGTCCCAGGGCAGGCCTAGAGCAACAGCTGGTGTTCTGCCCCTCTACTGACTCCTGTGAGGTTAAAGCTTCTGTGTGAGAAGCAGTGTTCCCACACCTGTCAGTCCCAAGTCTATCTGCTTATATCTAATTTTTTTTTTTGGTCCCCTTTCCAGCCTGAAATCAAATTCTTAGGTAGTAAAGTTTCTCTTAATGTTTTGAAAAAAAGAAAAAAATCATTAAAATAACTTACTATGGTATAAAAGCTAAATAAGAGATAGTTATTTTAATAATAAAGGACATGTTCTCCACATGTAAATGCTTGGGCCTTACACTAGAAAATTGAAGTTTTTGGCTGTTTTTATCTCAATTGGAATTATCCCAAATACAGATGGAGCTGGCCAACTCAGGTGACTTAGATGCCAGCAAGAGTTGCTCTCAATGATGCCACTTATTCTTTATGTTAATAACTCTTGGATGACATTGAACAGAACAAGATACAATCTTTTCTTAATTCATAAAGTGATTACATTCTTGGAAAATTTAGTGCATATTAAACTACACACAAAAACTACCTACCTCTTGTGCCGATGTGTAGAGGAATTAGGTTCTAGGCTCAGAGAGATTCTTCACCTTCAGTTTTACTTTGAGATACATGGAGTTGCGACATGACATAAGACAACTCTTTGCAGGAAGTCTAGTCCTTTACTAGTAGTGTATCTCTTTCTAATCAGTGGGACAACCAAAAGCTGATTTGCCTAATTTCTAGAATATTCTCTAAGGGTTGGCACTGTTCTATGAGAACACCAACATTAATTATTTTACTGTAGTAGCCATGCAGTGGACACAGCAAAGCTGTTAGGGTCTAGAAGAAATCCAAGAATGTCTCCAGAAATAGTATGCAAAACTGAGGTATCACCAGAACTCCAGAGCACCTGCCCAGACAGGCCAGTAAGTCCACATGCCTGGTTTGGTGGTTCTCAGTGCCTTTTCTTCCCAGCAGCTTATCTATGGAAATGAGAATGAGCAGAGGGTCTTAATGCTGAAGAGGTGGACAGCCTGTCAGGCCAAAGGGTCACCAGGTCATACGCCCTCTTCAGCAGCTCTGGCTCTGGCCACCTCATCATTTACTGGAGCTTTTTCATCTGCAAGTATCCACCCCACTGGCTTTTAAGGAAGGCAGCAGCCATGAGATTCACATGCAACTTTAGCCTGATGAACAGAAAAAGCTGAGGAGGACATTGGGCTGCAAGTTGTTGGCCGCCTCTGGAGTTCCCTGAGATCCTGGAGCTCCTACATCTACCAGAGACCTTAAGAACCCATGGGAAACTGACTCTGCTAAGATCATGATGCAGAGCCAGGCCAACCCAGACCAGGGGCCAGCCCCGCCCAGTGGCCTCCCGGGCAAGCCTTGCAGCAGCCTTTGT